ATCAATTACTGCTAAACAATCCAATTCTTTGAGTTGTTTCAAAAGATTAATGAAACTACATTTTCGAAAACCATAAGTATGTAAATAGTTTTGTATGTTTGTTATTTATTTATGTTTGTTAATTTGTCAAAATAATCATGTAAATAGTTCGTATTATGTATATGTATTAGTCTTATTCTTACACGTCCCCTATGGAAACCATCAAAAGATGTTAGGGCTAACGTGTTTAAATAAATTTTTATGTATGTATGTATGTATGTATATATTAGAACATTTTGTCTGTGATCTTTATGGAATGAAACTTAGCGACGTCAATCTGCTTAGATACCAATTACACTGTGCAAGAAGTGGAAAGGTGGAGCCCGGAGTCATTGCCCCCTTGTCGATCGTCTTTGAAGCTGCACGTTTTACGCGCAAACTACCAGGCAGCAGTGTGGAGAAGGGCTGTGCTTGCAACTGCACATATACCGTCACCTGATGGCCATGGATGGGAAGTGACCGACGGCAATATAAAAATTAAATGGCTGGGTTCAAAGCCCGCACCCGAAGAGGTCCTTGAGATGCTGTCGTGTGTGTGCAAGAAGACATGTACAATTGATTCATGCTGCTGTTTGAAAGCTGGCCTTAAATGTACAGATATGTGCTTATTAGCGTGTGAACACATGGCAAGTGAAGATGACATACAGGATGATGATGACGACGATGAAGGCATTGACTAAAACTGATTTTTGACATACATTAATTGATTTTTGTCAAAAATATGTATATGATCGATATATAAGAGAGTGTATTGGTTCACAACGTCTGACAAAAACTGTTAAGTTCTTAATTAATTAAACATGTTGGATATATATTGGATATAACTAACGCTTAAATAGAACTTTATCCACAACATTATTACTTTACATATTCTATATATAAACTTAGCCAAGCCTTTTTATATTGTAGATAATTACTCTTGACATTTTAGTTAAGATATACTGCAGTATACTTTAACAAGATGAGATCGTGCATAAAATTAGATATTAAATTAAATTAAACATGGATATTTTAACGTGTGTGAATAGAGCCATAGCATAAACATGAAAATAGAGTAGGAGATTTTTTCTGTCTTTGTCAAACACTAATTTATTGATGAATATACAAATTCTCTCTACTTCCTGACAGTAAAGTAGGGAGAATTCATAGTTTGATCTTACACTAAAATATATGCCCTGCAAATGACACGAAGGCTGCAAAATTGCACTGTCCATCATACACATTTCACCTTTCTATACCCTTATTAGTATTTTGAGAAAGGTTATTCTTGGTCACCTCATGTGAGACCTATTATGCCTTCTGCTGATTGACTAAGTGTTTATATGGAGAAATTTCCATCCCGGTAAGCGAGATCTCGCCTCTTTCAAGCGAGATCTCGGCAACCGGGCCCAGCCCGCTTGTCCATATAAACGCACAATAATTGTTAATATAAAAATAACTACACAGCGAGATCTCGCTTACCGGGCTGTCTCGCTTAGCGGGCCAGCCCGGCTTCCATATAAACAGGCCCTTAGTAAATTTAGTAAGCCAGTATCTAGGCTGGCTTGAATTACATATAAAACATCCCCTATAATCCTACTATAGTTGGAAAAAATTAATTAAGAAGTAAAGCAAATCTAGAATGAAATATATTTCCCTTCAATATATGCAATTTGTAGTAATTAGTTGTATATATAGGCACAAAAATGGCTGAAATAGTTTAAAATTCAATAAAATGTCATTGTGTTGACATGAAAATATTCTGCCAACTGTTTTTGTAGCCATAGGTGTTAATTTAAACCATGAGATGCTGAATCGATCGTATGAACTATAATGCGGCAGATTTGCAGCTAGTGGTGTAGTGGCATAGACTAGCTTGTATGTCACTACGAATCTATGTAAGATATATTAAGCATTAATTGCATGGTTTAAATTAACACCTATGGCTACAAAAACAGTTGGTTAATTTTAAGAATATTTCCATGTCAACACAATGACATTTTATTGAATTTTAAGCTATTTCAGCCATTTTTGTGTCTATACTGTATATACAACTATAACTACAAATTGCATATATTGAAGGGAAATTTACTTCTTAATTTTTTCCAACTATAGTAGGATTGTAGGGGATGTTTATATGTAATGCAGGCCAGTCTAGATACTGGCTTACTTTACTAAGGCAAATTTTGCTTATTGTACAACCATCCAGTATGAGCATTCCAGTGTTTATAATTAAACAATCCATAATAGATATTTGACAAATCAACCATTTGCCTATAGAACTACATGAATGTGGCAACATGCACTATTATTCTGTTCTTTATAACTTAATTGCTTGGACAAAAATCTATGAAAACAGTAAATTTAGTGCCCCACAATCCCTAGCAGTATCCCTAGCAGTATTCCTAGCAGTATTCCTAGCAATATCCCTATCCCAGTGGTTCTGCATCATCAGTTCACAATTTTACTTTTTAGTCCACAACAGGTGGGTTTCACTTAAAATTATCCCTTTCAAAAGCATTGTAATACTTTATGAAATACAAAATTTTTATATTAACCCTTTAATTAAGTGGCAATATATGTGCCCAGATGTACCCTACTTTATATTTTACTCTGCCTAACGCCAGACGATTTTACAATCATCATGCAATTAAGCCTGGAACAAATGGTCAGTTATAAATACCTATCTTGATCACTCAAATATCAATGGCTTGATTAATTGCAACTTATGATATTGCATGATATTTAATTCAGTATAAAAACCTAAAACTTATATGTTAGAGATATTAACTTGGTATGGACTTATCACTATAGTGCAGGTATTTTTTTGGACACCTGAAAACTTTTAATGCCATTAATATACTGCACGGATTTGTGTATTGGCTGGCTGCATCTATTTATTAGTTATTAGTAAATAACAATGTTGCACGCTGTTTCCAAGCAGCATATCTGTTTTGTGTCAAGATTTTGTGTGTTAATAATTATTACATGTAAATCGACTATGAAATATTCTAGCAGTATTAAGTATATAAACTATATTTTTATCAACATACCATACGAGGTGAACAAAATCCGCATTAAAATCACTTCAAATATTGTACAACTGAACAAGTCACACGACAAGAGAAACAATATTATTTGCTTGATTGTATTTAAAAATAAATAATCCATATTTTCACGACATTTTAGAGAAATAACCAGAATTAGTGCAGAAAATCTCTAATTCGTTATATTAATTCGTCCGTTTGTTTATATTCGCATAAATTATATGTTATTTAATTACTATTTTCCATATTTCAGACTCCGTGTTTTCCATATTTTTCTCTGACGTCAGACTCCGTGTTTTCCATATTTTATGGTGGACTCCCTGTTTTCCATATGACTCCGTGTTTTCCATATTTTTCTCTGACGTCGGACTCCGTGTTTTCCATATTTTTATGACGTCAGACTCCGTGTTTTCCATATGACTCCGTGTTTTCCATATTTTTATGACGCAGACTCCGTGTTTTCCATATGACTCCGTGTTTTCCATATTTTTCTCTGACGTCAGACTCCGTGTTTTCCATATGACTCCGTGTTTTCCATATTTTTATGACGTCAGACTCCGGGACTCCGACTCCGGGACTCCGACTCCGGGGCTCCGACCACTGGCTCCGACTCTGGAACTCCGACTCCGTGTTTTCCATCTAACCGGAAGAGTTTGGGTTATAAAATAAGGTGGCCAATCAAAATCCACGTGTTTTCCAAAAATTATATTATCGAAAAAAAATTGAAGCATGGAAGTTGAAGTAATGCTTTTGAGAAGATGTGTGGTCATTTTGCTAAAAGTGCCGTAAAATGTGCTGGGGTCAATTTCGCGCCATATGACGCATTTCCATGACAAATCCTCACTCCGGGGCTCAGAAGGGAAGGCATGGGATTACTGCTGGCGGCTGACGCGAATGGCTGTGCTCGCTTGAATACATTTTAAACACATTAATTGTTTCTTGTCATTGATCGCTCGTAAACTTCTAAACTGTAAAATGGATATTACTAGGGAATTACACTGTCTACACTGGTCTCGAAGTATTAATGAAAAATCACACTTGTGTTAGACGAAATATTTATAATACCGCTCGTGTTACGCACACGCGGTATTATTAATATTTCTCCAAACACGCCTGCAAAGTTTCATTAACACGTCTCGAACCATTTAATTTCCTTTGCAAATTTGACTGGCCTTTTTTACTAGGCCCTGCAGCCGTAATAATTAAATCAGTTACACCAAGTATTACGGCGCGACACCAAGTGGACGCTGACCAGGATTATTCACAAAAACAAAAATACAAAATGGGAAGAAATTTGTTATTTTTGCTCGAGATTTTTGCTTTATGTATGGCAACACATCCTCACTCTAAGAATACCTATTATAGGTATATGTCAAATGTCCCAAGAATATGCATAATAGATAGTTCAAGGCCTTCAATCATCTGTAGTACCCAGAGCCCGTAAGGTTGGTCCGCGTATGTTTTTTGGCGGCAGATTCGGCAGATGTTGGCGGCAGAAATTTTGCGGCAGATTTGCATTTGCGGCAGAATTCGACAGGATCAGTGAATTCAACAATATTCAATACTCAGCCTACTGACGTTCGGATTGTGTTTATATATTATGGAAACGATGGCAAATGATAACACGGAAAACGCGGAAAAGCAAATGGTACGATTCATTCTCCCCGTTTATATTAAATTTAATAATAACCATCAATTGAAATTTGCATATTCATATATCAGATTTTAGTATGTAAATTTATATTGTCATGAATAAACATTTCTAATTCAGTAATTGTAATTCTATTCTAAAAATATCTAAAGCCCTATTTGTAGTCTTTATCGAAGACAGAGTTTCTGTGTTCACAGTAGGGAGTTTTCGTAGGTAAATTCTAAGTTCTAATGGATTTGTGACAAATATAGCTGATACAGTAGCTCAGTGTTATTAAAAGCACGGTTTTTAATAGTTCTGTCACACGTTTCTAGTATTAAAATCAAATATTAAAATACATAGTCAACTTAGGATTTATCAAGGATTGATCCCACTGTTATCACAGAAACTTATAAATAATTGACAGTGTAAGTGTTAAGAAATATAGATATTTGCATTTTCTTATCAATCTTTGCCTTTGTATTTGTGGTGAACACAGAATGGAGCCACAAAACGATGCTTTAATTGCCATGATGAACACAATTCTGGTGCCAAAAAGTGCCGTACTTGTCTGGTGCAAAGGAAAACTGACAAGATCGACATAGAGGATGAGAGAATTCGGGATATGAAAACTCCTAATGCTTCAAAGCAATTTGACAAGCTAAAATATCGGGTAAGACCATGTATATATGCTTTATATATATATATGCTCTCTATATATATGCTCTCTATATATATGCTATATATATATATATATATATATATATATATATGCTATATATATATATATATATATATATATATATATATATATATATATATATATATATATATATATATATATATATATATATATATATATATATATTTATGAATACACCCTTTTGATGATTACGTCATTTGGCTTGGGAGCCTTGCCCTCATGAAGGATTCAGGAAGATTGCCCCTGCTACTTCTGTAGGAGTGGTGAGTACTGTTGGTCTATGGGAAGTTGAAGAAACAACTGGGAACTGTGATGGAGGAAAGATGGATACGGAACAGTAACGTCGGTGGATCTGTGATATATATATATATATATATATATATATATATATATATATATATATATATATATATATATATATATATATTTATAATATAGCATTTGTAAATTCTGAATGCTGATTGGCTGAGAGCCATGTTGATATAACTCGATGTCAACACAGAAATGTCGGAAAATTTCTTTCTTTATATTTCTTTGTGCTATATTATAAAACAAATATAAAACTTTTTTCCGTATTGATATACAGTTATATCAACACTCGTGGAAATTGGGAAAACTCAAAATTGTGTGAAAACACTCCGCCCTTCGGCCGTTGTGTTTCCACACAATTTCTCGTTTTCCCAATTTCCACGAGTGTTGATAAATGTGGGGTTTTTCAAACCTTCGTAACGCTTGATATAAGGATAAAACGCGCCGCGATATGCTAAAAATATAACACATTACATTGCATAAAATATAACTGTATATCAACACGGAAAATGTTTTATATTTGGTAAATATATATATGCTCTATATATGCTCTCTATTCTATATATATATGCTCTCTATATATATGCTGTATATTTATATGCTGTGTATATATATACATATATATATATATATATATATATATATATATATATATATATATATATATATATATATATATATATATATATATATATATATATTTATATATGTATGTATGTATGTATATATATATATAAGTTAATCACCTGGCAAAAAGCCATTTAAATAAGTTAATCACTGACACATATTTTTTGACGTTTCGACTTTATTGTCTTCTTCCAAGTAAAAATCGTTAACATAAACCCCTACTTATATACCCTACCAGACGAACATAATTATTCATACTCCTCAGAATCCTGTTCAATGTTCAACCCCGAGGGGTACATTGTCATAAGTCTATTAATCCAGTACATTTCCCTAATCGTTGGTTCTGCTGGGTTGGTTTTATCAATTATGACTATATCACAGTCATTCACCATTATGGTTTTCACCTAAGAAATGCGAATGAAAAAAGGCTTGTGTATGAGCTTTGTTGGACATTGCTTTCCAACAAAGCTCATACATGGGGTTGAACATTGAACAGGATTCTGAGGAGTATGAATAATTATGTTTGTCTGGTAGGGTATATAAGTAGGGGTTTATGTTAACAATTTTTACTTGGAAGAAGACAATAAAGTTGAAACGTCAAAAAATATGTGTTAGTGATTAACTTATTTAAATGGCTTTTTGCCAGGTATATATATATATATATATATATATATATATATATATATATATATATATATATATATATATATATATGTATATATATATATATATATATATATTTATATATATATAGTTAGTTTTTTTTTAAGATATAAATTATTGATCCACTCCCCTTTGGATATCAAGTAAAACACTAAAATTTTGCCATTTTTGGGAGTAAATCACATATAGGCTTAAATGCTTAAATGTGTCTGAGCTTCAAGAAATTGTCATACATATGTTTATTTTGGTTGCAGTATAGTAATAGTAATTTTGTAATTTAATTAATTTGTGAAAAAGTTAGAATGCCTCGCATGGGACTTATATGTCTTAATTGTTTCACTGTCCAATAAGGTTTACAATATAAATATTTATGTGCCCTAGAAAAAATAAGATGAAATACTTTTCCTCCTGCATTGGATATCCTGACTCTTCAATGCGGTTGCCTATATAAAATAAACTGGCTCGTTGAGGTAATTAGTTAGGATACTCATTTGTTTGGATAATGTTTGGAAATAATTTAATGAAATCACTTGAGTATATGAATTATCAGTGTCACATCTCCACAGTGAGTGTGTAATTAATATCAACAACCCTAAAACCTTATTTTCATTAATATTTTGCATTATCTGATAGTATCTGAAATACTGTAACTACTAAACAGTACTTAGCTGTATTTTCATTGTTTAGGCAAAGGTGTTGAATTTTCATTGTGGATGGGATATTGTAGTGATGGCCAGTCATAGACATAGTCGTGGCACAAGTTTTGTGAGATTTGGGACTTCTGGTCTGGGGGAAGAGTTTATTGGGGCTAATGAGCACCTATCAAGTTCCCCAACTGGAAAAGCAGTTTTTAATGTCTTTTCTTCATATATCAGAGGTAAGTTGTTTGTATTTTTTTGTTGGGCATTTTTTTCAGAAATTACCTTTTGGTAGGATAAATACAGCATTATTTCAATAGACCATGAATAGACATTTTTCATAAAGACGTCAACAAGTTTCATTACTGACGAGCCAATCAAACTTAGTGTAACATCTTGTATCCCACATTTGACGTCATTATGAAAAAATCCATTAAAATTTTCAGCATGAGTAGTCAAATGTACAATTATATGAGCGCCAAAGTAATGAAGGGAATAATCATAGTCTTCATAGTTTTAAATAAGTTTAGCATATCACTTGGCTTGTGGAAATATTTTCAACGGCACTCACAATGCAAATGAAGTTAATATGCAAGCCCTGACTGTTTCCCATCATTCTTTTAGCGCTTATATAATTGAAGGTTTATGGAGTTGTTAAAGTTTCTGTGATCACAGTGGGGATTTTGCGTAGGTACATCCTAAGTTTCATACAATTTGCTAGAAATGTTTGAGGGAACTAAAACAGTCCTTAGCATTGAGCTACTTCGCCCTGATGTTTATTACAAACCCTTTTCAAAGACCTAAAAATATGTGATGTATTAAAATGTATATTCGATGTTAATGTATTGTCATAAGTAACTATATATAATGAACAACTAAACTGAAAATGGGTCTTGGACAGAATCATATAACCCGTACCTGTAGTTAGCGCTCAAAAATAAGAAGTATGTTAGTCTTGTTAGAAGCTTCTTATTCTGGAATTCATTTGTCTTTTATAGAGAACAAAAAATCAGACCCTAAAAGGCCTACTCTAGGTAAAGAAGAACCTCCATCACAATCTATGTCCCCTGTCGTATCTATTCCTTCCCCTGTTACTCCTATTCCTTTTGCCACTTCCCTATTCCCTGTTACGTCTATATCTTCATCTATGTCCACTTCTGGACCTTCATCCTTATCTTCTTCAATAAATTCTGGACCTTTGTCCTTATCTTCTTCTGTCACTTCTCAACCTTTGTCCTTATCTTCCTCGGTCACTTCTAGACCTTGGTCATTGTCTTCTTCGGTCACTTCTCGGCCTTCATCGTTATCTTCCTCGGTGACTTCTCAACCTTCACCCTTATCTTCTTCAATAACTTCTCGACCTTCATCCTTATCTTCTTCTGTCACTTCTCAACCTTCATCCTTATCTTCTAGTTCTCGACCTTCGTCCTTATCTTCCTCTGTCACTTCTAGACCTTCGTCCTTATCTTCTTCCATAATTTCTAGACCTTCGTCCGTATCTTCCTCGGTCAATTCGAGACCTTCATTGTTATCTTCTTCGGTCACTTCTCGGCCTTCATCGTTATCTTGCTCGATGACTTCTCAACCTTCGTCCATATCTTCCTCGGTCACTTCTAGACCTTCGTCCTTTTCTCATCCTCCTTTCATTGATCCACCTTTTTCCACTAGTCTTTCTTCCTCACCTACTACAGGGCCCACCACTACAGATAGTGCGTCATTGAATACAACGATCAAGTTACCTTCAGGTACT